ATTGCTTTGCTTCGCTTTATGTTATGACCCACAACAGTGTTAAAACTGGAGCAACACAAGAGTTAGGAAGCACAGTTGCTTAAAGAGTAAAAGAAGTATTTTCTTTTGATGTCTCAGAATAATAAGAAAGTTAGAAATGGCAGAAACTCCTCTGTAGATTAGTCCATAAAAGCATTGTCTCATGGGGCTTTGGAAAAGTCCTGTCTGGTGGCTAATGCACTAGGGCAGGATGAGATACATTACAGAGCCCCCAGGCCAGTAACTTCTGATGACAGCCTAAAATGTAGTAACAAAAATGAGGGAAAGGAAAAAAAAATGCAAAAAAAAGAGAAAAAAAAAAAAAAGAAAAAAGAAAAAAAAATCTTCTCACTATTAAAAAAATAACACTTGAGTACAACCAGCATAGAACAGCATTTCAATGCAGGCAGGTTTTCTCACACAGGTTGTGTTGGTTTTGTTGTTTTTTTTTTTTTCAAATGTCAGTTATTGGAACAGTTACAAGAGTTCAGAACAGTTTTACAGCGTTTTTCTAGAGCTGTGAAACAGCTGAGGTACCTTGACATTATTTTCAATTATATTAAAAAAAAAAAAAAAAAAATCCAACCAAAAAAAAACCACCAAAAACCCAACACAACTCAAACAACCAAAAACCCCATCTGGATAAGTGCAACCTGTAACAGTGGCAATTCTACAAACGGTTACAGTGACACAACTTAGTGCAAAGGTACTAAAGGTGAAGAAAAGCCCACAAAATACAGAAATGACACAAAATGCTGAAATAGTACTTAGCCCTATACAATAATAATAACACACTTTGAAATACCATGTTTTAAAAAGTATTGCATTTGCACTGTGTTTTTAGTTTATATTAAAATGCACTGAATACAGTTCAATTGTTAAAGCTTTGTGTCCAAGGAGTGCAAAGTGGATGAATGTGGTGGGCTAATGGGATTCTGGGTTTGGAAGTGGTGAGGAAAACAATATTGCATTACTGAGTTATGCAGCAGAAATTAAAAAGAAGGTGGATGGACAAACAGAAAATGCAGTTAAAAACTAGTTCCAACAGCTAGCAACCAGCCATTACATCACCCAGCTCTCTTCAACTTGGCTGCAATTGGGCTTCTGACTTAAATAATCTGGATGTAATTCTTGGGAAGGGATGCTATCTATCTAGGCAGCAACCTTTGAATGTCATTTGATGTGCACTAGATGCACAGCTACAGGATGAGGGGAAATGGCTTTAAACTGGCAGAGGGTAGATTTAAATTAGATATTTGAGAGAAATTCTGTACTGTGAGTGTGGTGAGACACTGTAATAACAGGTTGCCCAGTGAGCTTGTGGATGTCTCCTCCCTGGAAGCATTCAAGGCCAGACTGGATGGGGCTTTGAGCAACCTGGTCTACAGGGAGGTGTTCCTGCTTATAGCAGGGGGTTGGAACTGGATGAGCTTACAGGTCCCTTCCAACCCAAACCATTCTATGATAACTACAGTGCAATTTGAAAACCTTATTAGGAATTAATGTTTTACAGAAACCTACGGGAAAACTGAACGAAACTTTGGTTGAACAAAGTGTGCAACCCTTAAGGTCACGGGATTTATTCTGCTGGTTTCAGCAAGTTCTGCAGCATGTATGCTGGGGCTGGATGGTGCATGCGTGGGACTGCACTTCGGACCTGTAGGTAGGGAGGTGGCAGGGGGCTGGTGTGTACCTGCTCTCAAGCAGCTATAGGAGCAATTACTGGTAATTTGGAAGAGTCGCATGTCAAAGAGAAAAAAAAAAAAAAGGGTCTGTTCTCCCTTCCTGCATTTATTTCTCCAAATTATGGTTCCCTGAACCAGAGAAAATTTCTAAGAAAAGCTTAAGGCGCTACTATATTTTTTTCCTCATTGTCTTCCAATTGTTCACAGGTCTGTCTCAGCCCCAGAAGCGTGGCTTGCTGCCCCTGTGGGCGGGGGAATGACGGGGCCTTCAGGGCCCTGCGCAGCTGTTGGAACTAGTTGCTGCCGGGCGCCTGGGTGTTAGTCGTTATGGCAAGTGGAAGACGGTTGGAGGTGGCAACATTAACACTAGCAACTGAACAGAAAAGAAAAAGATGCCATATTGTTTCCTTGATTACTAGGATCTACCACAGACTCTTGGTAGAGCTGGCAGAGCTTGCATTGTGTCTCATCCCTTCAATATGGAGCAAACTTCTGGCGGTCAGATTTCTTAACCCCGCTCGTCGAAGGAATTTTGGCAGTGTAAGCGGACAAATTCCCTGTGGCCCCCGCGGCAGCCGCGGCATTTAGTGCCAGGAGTGGGACAGTTTTCATGCCAAGCAGACTGGAGACAGGAACGGCATAGTGGGTGGTTGGCAGAGTTGGTAGGGGAGGGGGGGTACTGACGGTAACGGCGGAGGCGGCCGCCAGCACGGCCATGGAGGTGGGGGTGGAGGTAGGGGTGGCAGACTGAGAGAGGTTCATGTTGAGGTCAACAGGGGTCGTGACGGAAGCGGTCTGGGTGCTGACTTTAGCCATCTCTAAGCTGCAAACGAAGAGAGGAAGAGGAACAAACAGGTTGGGAGGGTCCAGCCAGGGCGGTGGGGAGGGAGGGAGGGAGGGATGGACAGATGGACGGACAGGGGAGAGCAACCACAAAGGGGTGGGGGTTAGATAGGTGGGCGAGGGGTCGGAGGTGTGGGAGGGAGAGGGAAAAGAGAGAAAAAAGGGAAAATGAGGGTCAAAGGAGGAACATGTTATGTGTTAAAGAAGAGAAATAACAAAAGGGTTTTTCATGACTCGATGGTGAAAACGTTACTGAGACTCTAAAGTACTTTCAGAAAGAAAAAAAGGGTTGAGGGTTTGGCTAGTTTATTTTACACGTGAGAAAAGAAATCTAAGGAATGCAGGTAATGGCAAAAAGATGGAAAAAACAGAACTTAAAAGTAAACTTAAAAGAACTATGAAGTTTACTCCCCAGCACTGATGTAGTGAATTTTGCTTTCCAAAATCTTACAGTAGTTTTGAAAATGGGACACGGGGGGTTTTGGTAATTTTTTCAATTGGTCAATTTTGTGACAGAAATAGTACCCTTGGTCATTTTGCTAGGACGAGAGGCTGTTAAGCAATGGTTTGCTCTTCCCGTGTAAGGTGTCAAGTTCTTGTTTCACAAAGTTAGTCTCATTTAGTTCCCTGTGAGGTCAGTGTGCATTTTTCATATAAAACAAACCTGATCAGACAGTATGTTCAGTTAGGATTGTACTTCCCCTGGACTTTTTTTTTTTTTTTTTTTTTTTCCCAAATCACAACAAAATATTTATGCAATCTAATTATAAGGAAATTAGAAAAAAAAATAAAAAAAAGGAAGACTGGAACAACACCCAGGCTTCCACAGCAGTTGTATCCATTCTGAGCTCATCACAACGATTACAGTTAACATCACCCAACAGCTGACAGACAAAGTACTACATTGATACAACATAACATAAACATCACACAGACCCAGAGAGCACAAGGCAATTCAGAGTGACCCAACCTCTTACTCCAACGAAGTGAACGGCTCTTTGGAGCATGTAGGTATATAACAACATTCATTTCACCATAATTAAGTCCACTCACTGGAAGGCCAGAAGGCCTGTATGCTTAGACTTTTCTCTGCTTTTTTTACACATTGAAATACAGTAATTCCAAGAGCACATTGGTTTTTGTGTTTTTTTTTCATTGGTTTCTTTTGCATGACAAAATGTTTATCTAGTTAAATCTTTACTTTGATATGTGTCTGTTAACAGCTTGTGCACTGTGCTTTGGGATCAGCAAACAATCTGGAAATGCTAATTTTGGTATGTGTTTTGCATGTAATCACCTGGGAGGTGTTACTGCCTAACATAAATGGGACTACGGGTTAGCAAATCATTACAGGCTCCCATTATACATGTGGCAGCAGAGTGAGCCACCACAGAGAGGGCTGCCTGGCAGGGTACCTGCCACTTATTATCAAGTCTCATCAGGTCTAGGGGAAACTTCCCAGCTAAGGGTGTCAGTCAGTAGCAGTAGCCCAGCTCCTCACCCAAGCAGCAGAGGGGGAATGGTTGCTCTATGCAAGGCATGGGATAACCTTGCATTTTCTCATTTAAGATTTATGTGCAGCTGTGAGGAACAGCCCCAGTCTTCTCATGGCCAGAGAAAGTAACAACCAGAAGGCATGACCCCTTGTAGTGTGATGGTAAGCACAAAAGCAATAAATGATCACTAAATGGGCAGTGATGTTGCTTCCCAAAGCACTGCTGCTAAAGGTGAGGTTAAAGGATACCTAATTCTGATCTGAGCTGGAGAAAGGAGAGTGGAGGAGAGGGAAATGTTTGAGTACTACACTCCTCCCTCAAAAGAAAAGGGCTCTTGTGATACTAGTTCATCAGATACTTTTGCTGGGAAGTTGAAAAACGTTTTATCTGATGGGTTGGGATGGAGGAAGGTAATGTGTGAAATGTAGACCTGCTTGTGGAATGTAAAACTTAGGTTTTCTTGCCCTCTGTTCTGTGATGTTTATCTGCCTCATGGATGAGCACCTTTTCTCCCAAACTTAACAATAGAATCACTCTTTGCAGGGAGAACAGCATCCTTGCACTGCCAGAAGTGCTGCTTGCAATCTACTTGCACAGTGGGATTTATATCAAGAATGATTATTTTTAGCACTGAAACAGTGAATCCAATCCAACTCCATGGAGGAGTTACATGGCAATGCCTTAGTTGTTTATGCAGTTCAGGTTTTTTTTAACAATTCTAAAATCATGTGATTTTGGGAGGGAGGCATACAGAAAGAAAATGCCGTACTCACTGTTTCTGGATTTGCCTGCCTTGTATTTAAAAATAAAGAATTTCTACTGCTGCGTGGATAGAATTTGAGGCTGAACTCACTGTCCTGCACCAACACAGAGAACAGATCTCACAGGCTTAGCAGTGGTGTTGAGACACCCAGACTCCCTGCCTGGTGTACTTGCACAGGTACAACAGAAGCACTAATTCGCATTACTTCACCTTTATTTCTGGTGGTAACGAGTGAGGTGAAAGTACATTAGGTTGGCTTTCAGCTGTCTTATGACAGCTGAAGTTTCCCAAATCGGTTATACATACAACAGAATTGAATAAGGAAGCTGATGAGCAGACTCAATACAGAATTTCATTATGCCAATTTTCCACTTTGAAGAGCTACACTTACAAATACATACATTGAAGGCCACGTCTTGCATTGCCCGACTAGCGTACAGAAGGAATAAAGCTCGAGATTGCCTTTGTTGGTTCTGTTCTGTGAATGACTCTTTCATCAAAACGGAAGTGAAAAACATCTTCAGGAAACTGCTCTTCAACAAGAAGAAAGTGCTGCTGGCTACAGGTCACTTACACCCCAAAGTCAAATATTACATAGGAAACCTAAGCTGTGGTTCATTCTTAATAAAAGCTAGAAGATGTAATTGGATAATGAAAATCCAGTTACTACAACGGTTACCAGTTAAGAGACAGAAGATTTTACAAGAAAAAAAGACATTGCTACTGCAAACAAGCTGGGACAAATTCTGCTAATACAGAGTTCAACCCTTGGATAGTCAACAAAGAACGAAAACAATACTTAAAGAATTAAATCTCTGTCTTGATACTGTATCAACGTACTTATATATCTGTAATTTAGAGTGCTTAATCTTATGTACACATTCAACACCAGATTGCAATAATATGCCTAAAACAACCTGATAAATTGCTATATAGATGGCAACTTTGGCTAGAGATACACACAGTTAGAGGAATACATTGGATAGGTTTTTCACATCCCATGCTGCTGTGAGACATTATCTATGCAGAAATACTGTCCCTGGAAACCAAATCTATGAGAATGTTGGATCTTGGGGGGAAGAGTAGAAAGAAAAGTCCATCTTACCCTGAATGTTTATATGGCTTTTACTTATTATTTTATATTATATATATATATATTTTTTTCTTTTACTTGACATCTCAAACTATATCTTGTTAACTGTACTGCTGGCCAGTGCTGTGGCTGTGGTGGCACCTCACTGGGCAGACATTTCTCTTGGGAGAAGAGAAATCTGGAGCAATGTAACTTTTTAAATGAAAAAGCCACCTTAATGTCCTATGTCACCTTAGAACTTAATTTATTATACATTACTTTAAGAGTCTTCATTTACAAATGAAGTTGCTTCATCTAAATACAGTTTCAACATATGGTACATAATAATATATGATGGTTTATTGTAGATGATGGTAACAATTGACTTTCTAGAAAGCCAGCAGGAAGAAAATACTTTCTGGTTTCACAGGGTATAGATAGAGCATCCATGTGTATGACTGCTGAGAAGTTTTCTTCTTTGCAAAAGTATCTTAAAAGACCCCACATATATCTCATTCCATCAAAAGATTTGTTAAGCAGTAATTAAACGGAATTGTGAGAGTTCACAGGCTTTTCTAAAGTGAGTCAAAGAGAGGTTTGTTCACTAGAGTTTCTGTCTCTGGTGAGCAGCTCACTGCAACTCCATAAATAAGTGCATTATTTTATTTGCATGCTTTAGCTGTCTTGAAGATCTTAAATTGTTATCTTCTGAGATCCAGGTGCATGCCATATGGTGTTTGTGCAACTAAAAATGAAGGGGTCTATTCTCGTCTCGATGTGTGGGGAATCCCTGAACACCAAGAGAAGAACATATCCTTAAGGGTTAAAGGAGGGAACACATTTTTATTTGATTACAGGGCTTACGGAAGTGACTTATATTTGCTATAAAGAATATCAATCAAAAGAACTGTAGGTTGATTTAGGCGCTTGGAAACACCTTATCTTAGGCTTCATGATGCCACTCCTAAATATGTCTTTCTCTAGGAAACTTTCCAAATTGAACTATGAAAAGTAATAGTTTTGTTTGCTGTAATACAGAGCTGCACAAACATTCTGTTCATTACAGTGCCTGCAGTTGCAGTGCAGAACTGAGGTGTAGAGGAGGTTGGACCACAGAGGAACCCAGAGACCTACCACTACCACAGCTCTGTATATAAATGACATGCTTTTCTTCTACCTTAACAGCAAACATCATTAAACACAGCACTCAATTTGTAACGAAGTATTTTTAGAAAATAAAATAAACAACACAAAATCAAATCCAAACCCCAAAGCAATAAAATACATATAGCTACTCCTTACATTTGTTGCCTTGAACCACAATTTACAATTAGCTCTGTGAGACAGCACCATATCCACTTCACTTTCTTCTCAGTGTAATAGCAAATAAAAGAGGTATCAATGTTAATATATTTCTAAATAATCATATCAAACTTGACAGAGACTTAAGCTGTCTCAGTGGCTTAGCTAAACAGCAGTGCTGTCATTAATCCTGGTGCTGAGAAGTGGCAAAGCAGATAGTCTCATTCTGTCTCATTAGGGAAAGCTTTTTACAAATTTGTGGTGCTGTCTCTGAAAAAATAAATCCTGTGCCTTCTTAGCAACCACATGTCAGTTTAATATCAACTCTGAGTGGCAATTTCCAGCTAGTAAATTAAATCTGGTTCGCAATCTGTTTCATTATATTTGCCGTTTAGGACAGTAAAACGTCTGTGAAAAGTATTTCCTTCTGAAGAAGTTATAATTGCCATTTTTAATCCACCTATATTTTAAGGTGGATGCAATTGTGAATATTCAGATTTTTTTTTTTTAATCTTTTGTCATTCAAAATGTACCTGGACTTGCACCATATTAAGGCTGCTTTCCACGTAAACCAACAGTAAACACAACTTCTAATAATACAGGCTTCACAACTCTTTGGGAATCGAATAGTACTATTCGGAATGGACAGTACAAAGCAACTTTCTGGATCTACCCAGGACAGAGACTTGCAGGAGAGCAGTCAGAGCAATCCTGAGGAAGCATCATCACTTACAAAGTCAACTTACCTTGCATTTATGAGGTACTGTGCTAAGCTGATGTTTGCGGGGGATCCTGTGATTGTAACTTGTCGTTCTGCAGAGCCTTCTGTGGCATTAGCAATCTTGATCTGCGCTCCTGACATCTGCCTGATTTCATTTATCTTACTGCCTTGTCTGCCAATAATGCAGCCTATTAGCTGGAGTAGGACAAAGACTGAGATTAGTGCCACGGACAGAGGCAAAAACCACTTCACTGCAATTTGTAGCATCGATAAAAACAGAGTTTATGAAAGACTCCTCAGTATCAAACAAAAAGACTTCCACTGTGCTGTTTGGAAGGAGTCACTAGCATGGTCTACCAGTCCAACGTTCCCATGTCTCTAAATCAAGTTTTTGCTGCTACATGGGTAAGTATCAAGAGAGCATCAGACCATTTAGCTGTCTTCTGCAGCATAAAATGACCGTGTGTTGCAGTGCTAATGAATACAAGGCACAGCCCAGCCTGAAAACAGCCAGCCCAGCAGAGCTGTGGGCTGGACAGACCTTGCTGTGCTCCCACCCAGTCCTGCACAGCTCCAGTCATGCTTCCGGTCCTAAAGCTCATGGGAATGCATGGGCCTCTCCTGCACTATTAAAGTCAGTGGGAGTTACAGCTGAGCACCTGCAGGTAGCAGCAGGCATAGAAAAAGACTGGTAGCAGTGTACGTGTACATATATAAACACACACACACACACATATACACACACGTGTGTCATTTTCAGCTGTATTTCACAGAACCTTAACAGAACTCACACTCCATAAATAAAACTGAGCCTTTGTTTCCTCAGATCCCTCTTTTTTTTCTTTTTTTTTTTTTTTGGAGGGGGATAAAATTACATTGGTGTTATCTTCAACTGATAGCTTTTTTGAAGGTTGGCGAAGTCACAAGCTTTTGGACTCGAGATGCAATTTGCAGAAGTACTGAATGCTACAAATGAGCAGTGCAGCGCAGTCAGGGATAGGGGATGTGATTTGTAAGACTGAGCACAGGGAGCCCCAAGGAGTATGTGGGCACTGAGCCAGCCACTGAAGCTGAGATGCTTTGGCTTCCTTAGAGACAAGGAGGAGGTTTTCTGCTAAAGCAGCATGGAGACTAACAACACTGCAGTGCCCAGGACCTGCAGAAAATGCAAACTTGGCTCTGTGGGACTGCTGACATTGCTGCTGCCCATTTGGCAGAAAGAAGTGCCAGTAGTGCTGATTGCCTTTCCTTCCCACTCTTTCTGATGGGTTATCCTTTCTGTCACTGCAGTACTTGCAGTATCTTGGCAGAAGCAGATTCACGTTGTCCAGACGCTTCAGCAAAAGAACAACAATAAAAACCCTTAATCTTTGCTTCACACCTAGTGACAGAATGACAAAGCAGCTAGCAAGGCAGCCAAAACAGACACAGAGCACAAGAGCATATGTGAGAGGGAAAAATGGGCTTTAGGAGCACACACAGAGGATTTTCCACCCTGTTGAAGCTGAAAGGCCTCATTTAACTCTATCCTCATCCCAAGGACCTGTGTCAGCATGTTACTGCCAGGTGCCCATACAGAGCCTTGCATCCGCTCCATCATTAACATAAGCAGACAACAGCCAAGTCATCTTGGAGGAAAACACTGCTTATGAACACATCCCTCTACTGAGGACCTTTCTGTTTTCTATGCTTTCCTCTCACTGGTCTCCACAGTCCATGGGTAGTTAAGGTGAAGCAGGAGAGATGAGCACCCAAAGAGCACATAGCAGTGCAAACACCAGCTGGTGGGGCTTTTGGTTATCATTGTAGGCCATCAGTATGAGCAGTGCAGAGAAAGTTTTGCCAGGGAACCATTGGACAGGAACACTGACAGCACCTGATCCACTCATATCTGTTAAAACCTGGTGATTTCTGTAATTCTGTTCCTGTGAATCATTTATATGTCATATCCCAGCTATTATTTACTCAAATTTGGTTAGAAGTGTTTGCTGTTATGGGAGCAGAATGGAGCATGGAGACAGGAAAAAAAAACTTTGAATTATCTTTACTTGGCTTTGAGATGATGAGCTTGAAGTGCTGTTCAAGAACCTGCCTGCTGCATCCAACGCTCTTCCTATTAACATTTAGGTTCTGTTAAGCACCAGCAAGGCAAATCATAACATCTTCAGATTCCTCTGACACTTGTCAAATGACATGAAGGGCAGGGTAGGCTTCTTGTCCCTATAATAATGATGTCTTAACTATGAACAAAAGAAGTAGACTGCACAAATGTCTGAAGAGGAAGGGTAGAAATATGAATTTACTTACTACGAAGTACTTGCGTGGTCTTAAGAACACGTAAAAATATATAAAGGTATAAAAAAAAATGTATTTAGAAGGATTTCAAGAAGTCCAGTTGTCACGTGGTGTTGTCATTGCCTGTAGTGTTCAGGACAAAGGAATGTGTAGGACTGCTGGCTCTTCAGGTGTGTGGTGAGCATGCTGCAGTCATCAGCTCTGGTAAGGCACCACTGGGTCACACAGGGGCTGTCACCTGTGTGTGCAACAGGTCCTTGGGCAGCACTTTTAACACAGTTGCGTCAGGAGAATGAATCTGTAGGCTTGTAGATGACTTTGGGTTAGATACGGAAGGTTCAGTCCAGACGGCCCCAGGATAACAATGATGCAGTTGTCTGAAGGAGCACTTTTAATTCATACACTGATTATGGCAGCTGTCTGTAATGCAGACACCAACAAGTCTGTGTTTGTTGTGCTGGGCCGATTCTGGGAGCCTGCTAAAGGCTTTGCTAAAGACTGCTTTAAAACTATACTTAGGAAGAAAAAGAGGGTGACATTGTAGGTCCAGTCTGAAGCTCCTCCAAATCATCCTTTGATTCTGTGATAGTGAGCTGCTTGAACATGCTCTATGAGTCGTGACCTGACTGCAGGTAGTACACGGAATACATTTATCCCCTTGCCACACTAATGCTTCTGGCATCCTTGTTCTACTTGCTCACATTTGTGCAGCATATGAAATACTCCAAGAGCTGATGGCTTCTGGAAGAAACTTTGACCTACCAGGCACTGGCCATTCCACCCTGATCTGCTGTAGACATCCCTGTTTATTGCAGGGGAGTTGTACTACTTGACTTTTAAGGGTCCCTTCCAACTCAGCTGATGCTACAATTCTTTGATTCTGCTCTACATAGTAGCATGTACACTGTCCTGTCTGGAGGACAAGCCACATCAAATCACATCCAAACGTGTGTCTTCCTTTCCAAGACTGACCTTTCTCCTTCCTTCAGCTGCCCTTTTATTGCAGTACAGCAGGCTCTGTGTTACTCAGTCCCCAAAATGTCCCCCACCACAAGAGCTGCCTGTCCTGCGCTTTGCACGTAATACTGCATTTCACAGATGTGGATTCACTGTTCCTTCAAGCTTAGCAGACAAGAGTTGGAGAACATGAAGGTTGCTAAACATGTTAAGTCTTTCAGAACTTTCAGCACTACATTATTTTTGATGCTCACCTGCTTGCAAAACATAGCAAGTAATAGAGATAAAGCTGGCCCATTAGAGAGAGCAACTGAGCATCCTATGGGCTACACAAAGCTTACTGTGTACTATATTATGAATTTATGCATATGCTTGTATAATCAATGAATATACTTGTTATTATTATGAAATTACTTGTTATTATTATGAAATATACCAGAGAGTTTGGCTAAGCAGGCTATTTTACAGAAGAGAATAGATAAAATGCTTACCTGTGTCCTGGGCTCACTATAAAACTCCAAAGGAGTGGATCTCCAGAAGAGATCCTTCCCCACTGGTAGTCAGCTCTTAAATAGGTCTAGGAGAGATGGAGCCTGGCTCCACCCCTTCCAGCAACACAGCTGAATTGCCTTCAGCTGTGCTCCTCTGGCTGACTCATTGCTCACCTCAGGTGATCAATCAGAGGTTCAGGCCACGATTCAGCAGTTCCCATACAATGCTTAAGGTACATAGTATGCACACTCATCTTAGAAACATACACAAGCATATATATATACACAAAACTTTTATGTATGTACAGGCATCAGATCACAGAACTGTTAAGAGTTGGAAGGGACCTTGAAGGGCCACTTAATCCAACTCCCCTGTACTGAACAGGAACATGTACAGCAGGTCAGAGTGCTTGCAGAATATGTGTGCATATGTATGCAGGTGTGCAGATTTTAACTCCCTCAAGGACGAAGCAGAATGGCTAAGATCAGAAAGGCACCCAGCCCTGCAACCTGCACGTGTTTGCAGAAGAAGCCTAAAACCAGCACGAGGAATAAAGCAAAGCTTTCATCAGTATCCTAAATTCTCATTCTGCATATGGCTTATAGATCACCTGAACAGCGGATGGCATCTCTGACTTCATGCTCAATAGTCTATGTGCCTGACAAGTTCCCACTGAATCTGTTTCTGCTTTGCAGCATTTGTTGTCCGTCAGTATCATCATTTGCCCTTAAAAATCAAAATATCAGTTGATGTTCTCTCCTTCTTGTACTGTAAACATCAGTGAAGATGGTTCCCTTTCCTACTGCTCCACTACCATGTCTCATCCACCTTCACCTACCTCAGCGTACCTCATTTCTTCTCATACCCATCAAAAAAACCAAATAAACAAAAAAACAAATCCTAAAACATAGATGCTGCTATTTGCCTTTTTTTTGGTTTTGTTTTGTCTTTTAGTAAAATTCTGCTGGTACCAGCAGCAACAGAATCAAATCCAGAGTCTGGGCTCTTACAAGAAGGGACTGGAGGAAGGTCTGCTCTGGTTCCCCCTCCCCGGCTTCTTGGTGCTGGTGGAGTTTCCCCTGACTTGCCATGTCAGCAGAGATGTAGGCCTCTCTCTTCCATATTATTTTCCCATGCTAAGTAAATATGCTAAGCATACGTCTTCCCCCTGCCAAAATGCTAAGCTCACTGATTGGGCCTAACAACCCAGCTTGCTGCTGGGTTTTTCCTACTGGTTTGCTCCTCCATATTCATCACGCTGCCACACTGCACAGGGAGAACTCAGACTTCAAGTTCTTGGTTTTTTTGTTTTTGTTTTTGTTTTTTAAACCAAAGCCCAGTGTTGTAGGTCTGTCACAGAAGAAGTGTTGAGCTTCCACGTACTTGTTTAATTCTGGTATCTTTTCTTTCTTATTATGAGTCTAGCACCGGTTAAAAGGAAGCAGCTTCTACTGCTTGGCATCTGCCAGGTCCCTCAGCTTTGATGGAAAGGCTTTTACTCATAGTACCACTGCATCTTCTTCAGAGTATCTTGTACAGACTGTTAAGTCTTCCCTCAACTGTTGCTTTCAAATCCTTCTGAAAACTTCTGAGTCAGGGATGGATTTAAGTGAATATCCAAAGTCCTCAGGACTCTTCTGGAAGAGGCATTACCCAATTTGGGGCTGCATGTCACAGCATGGTCAGATGCTGCCCTTGTGTCCTCTTTACAGCTGCCACCAATCCTACTCCAGGAGCTGAATTGAGATCTGTGGAGATGAGAACTCGGTGTCCCAGAGACTATCAGAGGAGGAGGAAGAGGAGGCACCATGGGGGCTCTCTGGGGGCTAGGTTTCCCTGGGGACTTCTCCAAGAGCACTTTGCATGCTTGGCCCCTCTCAGACTACTGGAAGGAAGGATTTCTGACTCCACTGGTGATAGGAACAGTTCTTCAGGTTGCTTTATCCAGCTTGGATGGATTTGCATGTCTGTTTATATGGAATATTGACCAGATTTACTGTTTTTTTTTAAATGTTTGTGTTTTCCAAGGGTGAAGCTTTCCTGCTACTTGCTTCTGCCTGTCTCCCACATATATAAGGGAATTACACATAACTTCTAATGAGGTGGATTTTTTATTATTATTATTGGTTTATTCATTTACTTTCAATGGCCATTTTGGGGATTGGATTACACAATGTTGTGAAATCTGATATCTGTGCCCAGCAGTGATGTCATCCCTCCTGCTCCCTAAAGGACAACCACTATTATACTACCTCACACAGAGGCTTGTGCAGAACACACCTCAAGTCTGAGCTCCTCATTCTCTTCACACTTGATTTTCTTCCACCAGATTCATACTGGGGCTTTGGTTTTTTGTATTTATCATTATCTTGTTTTTAAAAAATAGGTGTAACACATATGTAGGTGCAGTGGCAACTGTAGAACAAGTGGATATTTGCAAGCCACATGCTGTTCTCACCTGTGCTGGACTTCTGCAGGCCTGCATGTATAAAATGAGGGAGGTTTCTGACCAAAACTGGACTAAGAGATGTTGGTTGGGCAAGTGAAGTCAAATTACCAGTGCATGGTTTCCTGCACAACTGCTGCTGCCTCTCCCATCTGAACCAATGCAATAACATCCTTTCACTGTCTGCAGGCTGTTTATAAGCACAACCCCACCTTGGCCCTGGTTTTCTTCCTTTAGCAACAACAAGGCACACGCTGTGTACCACAACAAATTTCCTATTAGAAACAACACATGGATGTTTATTTGCTTCTGAGAGAACAGTGCTGAGCCACGGCATTTCATAGCTCCTCATCAGAAACAGATCATTTTTTTTCCTCTTCTAGTGCGCTACAGCACATGAGGCCAGCTGTTTCCCTCTCTGTCTGATAGGAACCCTGAAGAAGTGAAGTCAGAAGAGTAACCTCAGCTTTACATCATCAGGGGCAAGAACAAAAATTGCCTGAAAGTCAGATTACAAAAACTTGCTTTGTAAGGATAAGTACCATGCTCTCATAAAATCCTCAACTTACAGTAAATTGGGTTATAAACTACTGACAGATCAGCAGGACAGCCTTTAAGTCACATAAAGCTTACAAAATCACTGTGCTCATAAAATAAAGATTTACCTTTGCTTCTTCTTTGTTGTTCTGTATCTTTTTTTTCTTACTGTAAATCATTGCCACTGAGTTTAATAGGGCTTATAGAATATTGTAAGTGTCTCTTGAAAAATATAATTGCTATTTATGTTCCCACTCATACTTGAAAGCTCTTTTTAGTGGAGGGGAAACTGTCCATTTTTCAGGTGACTCATTTGTAATGCAAACTCAAAAAAATCCCTTTGCTGATGAAAGAGAGTAAAACTTGAAGGCATATTTGCATGATGCACAGAGCATCAGCTGGGCAGTTAGAGCAGCTGCTTGAGGATTAGCTCTGTACTGCCCAGGGACCAGATCTGTCTGTCACAGTCAGTGCAGAGTTCTGGAGCCCCTGTTCTCGGCTAAGTGCTTGTACTGTACCTCTATCTAACCAACGTTTGGTTTGTACCTTTGCATAACTTTTTGCAGGGGAAATACTCCACCTGGGGTAAGCACAGTCTCTGGTGCAGACCAGCTCCATTCCACCACTGTGGTATGGTGGTCCCCAGCCAACCCACAGCAGATGGGGTCTGAGCAATTTCCGACACTCTCCAGCCCCTCTGCTAGGGTCACGCATGACATGGTATGTGTCTCAGACCATGTCTGCTTTTCACTAAAAGCAGCAGACAGCCAGGCTTTGAGGAAATGGGTGAAACACCATGGCGTGGATGCCACTGTGGAACTAAGCCAGCAGCACTGGAGGTGTGACATGAGATGGGAGGGCCACTTTCACTACTGCTGTCGGCACGTCAGTAACCCATGGCACCTCCTTCCCTTCAAAACCAAACCCCAGGTTGTTTCTGAGGACGAGTGTTTGCAAATCACCCACGATGACAGAATTCCCCCCCGGTGGCAGAGGAGACCAAGAAGAGAAAGCAGTACTGACTATGGATCCACTTACATCATTGGGAATAGTAAGTTCATGGGAACTGGTTGGAGAAGTGGCATCCAGTCCTATGTGGGGAACAGACAGAAAATGTTATGCCAGTTGCTTGCAAAAAGGGTAAGACACAACAAGCCAACAAGCGATATTATAGAGGAGGAAACATACCAACAAAAAAAACCAGAAGAGCAAAGAAAAGTAGAGAAGTGCTAGCGAAACAGAAATGAAAGAAGATGCAAAACTCAAGAGGGTTGGACTCGCTTTCAAAGAGTCTTATTTTAATTAACCTTTAACCCACCAAAACAACAAATGTCACATGATTCCACAGAGTCATACAAATCCTTTAGAAAATGGAGGGTTTCACCTACAAATCATTTCTGAAGCTCATCATAAATACATTGATTCAGAAATTAACAGATGACTGAAATTTGACCTCTCTACCCAGTGTTGTAGAATACAGAAAATTAGAGTGGAACTCAAACAGAAAAAGTAGTTGAACCAAATACATTGTCATGAAAATTAAAAATAATAATAATAATAAAATAACAATGAGGAAATTAACCTAAAAGAATTTGGAAATTAATGAGGGATTAGTTGCTGAAGAATGTTGGGAAGGGTCATTTTGGAAGGGAAAAGTACCAAATAATGTAAGTTGCATACATTTGTTTTTAAATTGGGTGGACAAAAGGAAAAAGGAGAAATGGAATTACTGCTCTAACACACGGTAACATTATAGGAACATATATCTCATGAGTACAACCAGGAAAAGATTAAGGAGCAGCATGTTAATGACAAGAATGAGGAACACAGAAAGCTGGGAAAAGCCATTCAGTGTTACTTGCAGATATTTTATCAGATACACCATAGAAAAACAAAAATGTATTTTGGATGTCATTGCTCTCCCCTCTCATTTATTTTTTAATTTATTTCCTTGGGGCGCTGTCTTGATTTGTTCATTATCATCTCTGAAGACATGCCAAAATACTCATTTCCAACTAGAAATTGTGGAAAAGGAGCTATTTAGAAAACAGCAACTCATCTACAGTTTACTTGTGTTTACATTCTACTAAGAATTGTATATAGTTATTTGATGTTGACTATAACAGTCAAGTTGCTCACAAAATTTGATGTATGTGATAAAATGTTATTTACCATACCAAGCATGTACCAGTTTATTCTGTGAAATTTTTGATGCCAAGCTCCAATCTAGTGAAGTATAGAAAAAATAATTTATTGTATGGTTAATTGACTCGACTTCTCTCTTGACATGAGTTCTTTCTCTTGAGTAAATAATTTGTTATCAGCTCATGCACTTTAATCAACACAGGCTGAATTTCACATTTCTTAAGTGAGTTGAATTTCCACTGCAGTTTGTAAGCAGTCATTTGCTCTAGTAGGACATGAGGCACTTGTCCCAGCAGTGACTATTAGTGATGGTCTTAAGAAGTCTGGCTCTATGATGAGCTCCAGTTTTAGCAGGCAGTAATTTCTTTAATCTAAATTTCTATACTGCCATTACATGCTATTTTCTTGTATTTTTTGGTTTACAAAAGATGCTAACAAACTGGATATTTGGCAGGACATATGTCCAAGTGCTTCACTCAGTGTCAACTGGTAGATACTGTATGGTCCACAATAACTTTATAAGGATTGAAATAACTCAGGATTTTTAGCCAATGGCACAAATGGAGTGGGTTTGATTAAATAAACATAACAAACAAAGCAAATCTTAGTAGTGATGAAAGGAACTGTAATAGAGGAAAGGGAGGGAACAACAAAGATTAATGTGTCAAAACAGAAGGATCATTGGTCATTGACCACATTTGTTATTAAAATGATGTAATGACCACGGGAAACAAAGCTGTTAAGAAGAAGGACATCCCCAGGAGGTCATGGGTACGTACCAGGGAAACCAGGGGTGGTCTGCCCAAGGGGAGTAAAGGGGGGATGCTGCATAGCCAACTGGTGAAGCTTGGTCAACTGCAGGGCAGGATGGGAAATTAGAACTAACCAATCAAATGGAATTATTTCAGAGCAGAGAAACCGTCTTACATGTTCTAAAATTGGATTAATTAAAATTATATTAAAAAAAAAAAAGTTTAATCATTCATTCTGATCTACTGCAGAGAAAAAAAAAAACAACAAAAGAAAACGAAACAACAAAAACCCCAAATTGGTTATAAATGACATCTCTACTGTTATTACATGTAGCAGCTATTGTTAATATTAACTAATTACTGTAGAATTACATATTAAAAGAGTTCAGATTTATCACATGCAAAGAAGACTGAGATAACTGTGATTTGTTCCTGGGCCATTGTACTTTCTAGTAAGTATTACACAAGATAAGAGATGCAACTGAACTATAATGTATGGCTATAACGTATGTCATTAGGGACATGTGTCCTTAGTCCATGTTAACTCCATTGCTAGCAGTAGAAAGTAAATATTGCCCGGAACAAACGAAAAGGTGAGGAAGAAAAAGGGAGTAATTTACATGTGCTGGACTCACGTCTGGATGAGGGATGGCATACTGCCCCTGAATTGTAAACGCCTGGAAACGAGAAGCACAGGGAAGACAGAGGTCAGCTGGGTGGGACAAGCACAGGGCAGCCTCCTGCTGGCCCCATTGTGAATGCCACCCACGTCGCCCTCTAAACCAAGTAAAGCTTAATTTTCTTGTGCTGCTTGATAATGCCTGGCGTGGTGCAAAATGTTGTTCACAGGATGTATGGTGTGATGCCAAAAGCTACAGCCTACTCTCTGGCTACCCTGATGCAGGAGGTGGCTTGCTTGGCCAACCAACACAGTGCCAGCAGATGTGATCCTGCATAGCACATGACACAGCCCCTCATCTCCCCCGCTGGCTCTGCTCACTCTGTGCAATGGCCTACACAGACACAGCTATGAAGAGATTATAATTTTCTATTTTATTCTGTAGAGCTTTTCTGAAAGGAAAGGCATGTCAGAAAAATTTTAATGTGCTTATGCTCAGACAGGCAGGGAGGCAAAAGGACAAATTATAATGTATAAATATTTGTAGTGGGAGAATTATAAACAGGAACAGAGATGATTAGCTTAGTTTGCAAAATGCTAATTTGACAAAAGGCCTCTTAGAAAGCAATGAATCCTCTGCAAATGATAAAACAATTCATTTAATGATGTTCAGATATTAAAACCCTTTATGCTCCAACTGCTTAATGCACATTTCTGCAGCAAAATTTCCCTTCTGGAGAATAAACATTTCATTTAATTTTGAAATTAGCTATAAAAGAAGGCTGAAATCTGGCAAATATTATGCACACGAGCAGTTTTCAACCAGAAGGAACTACTGGGCTCAACGGCATGTTCACTTGCATACATACTCCCATGCATCTATGGGATGGCCATTAGAAACGGTTTATAAATGAAAAGGTCCCCATCTACAAAAACAGACTCTAACTGCCATCAGTGGGTCTTATGAGCAAAGTGTGTGTTTAAGTGTTTTACCAAATGAGGACAACCTTAAGGAAATGTTAAGACTGCTCTGCTGAGTGGAAGGCTTTGAGTGTAGCCAAGCACATGAGCGGCCTTTCAGATATTCAATGGATATGGCACTGGGCAGGGACCTAGGCCTATGAGCAAACAGTGGGTTTGAAAAACACACTCTGGTCTCTTGCTCTCTCTGGTGGACCAGAATAGACCAGATCTTGGGTTTCCTTCAAATCCAGCTGAGGGGACATCATTTTTTCACAAGGGTGCTTCCCAAGATGTGGTCTACAAGCCAGCAGTGAACTACTGCGATAAAACTTGCTAACAAACCTAAAAGCACCCTCTTCCTCATTGCTCTTCTTGCTCATATTTCACATACACACATGAAGACACAAACAAAACTATGGAAGTAACAGGAGTAGGTAACACCCAAAGCTCTGTTTATTAACTCTGCCCTTTCCACAGCAGATGCATGAGAAGTACAAGCCCAGTAACGGCTACTGAGGCATCTGTATGGTAATGCTTAGCAAGGACAGGAGCTACAAGTCTGCTTCCTTCAAAGCTTAGACAACTTTCCAATGGATGTACTGACTATGGTAAGAGCATGAATTATCTGGCCTGCATATCTTCCTCAATTTAAGAGGCATACAGCAAAGCTGTCACTGTTGAGCACCAGTCTAAACAGCAATGCAGCACAAGGGGTAGAAATCTTCTATTTGCTTCCTTCAGGCAAAAGTGCAGTTTTTTTTTAAAACCATTGCTTAGGCTGGATGTTGGTAAACGGCAGAGCAGAATAGTACAGTTCAGCTTCCCTTCTGTCAGGCAGTGCAATATTGAAGAAGCACAAGAAAATTAAAGCCATACTTACAAGAATAAAACCCCACCTTGTTAAGTAAGAACAGAATTCAAATTTTTCTAGTGCTGTTTGAAAAGCAATCATTAAAGAACCTGAAACCTTTAAAGATAGCCATGATTTTACTTAGAATGGAAAAATAACTTTTGATATTGTAGTCAAAGGGCTGGGTGGACTTAATACTCTAACTGAAATTTTATTTTCAATGTTAATTTCCACTGTGATTTTCCACAGTCACTTTCAAACATACCTCAAGCATTTTCCATAAAAGTTTGGTTAGTCAAAGACCACATTCAAAGCACACACAACTCATCTGTCTCAGACACTCTTTCTCACATCAGTAAGGTTGCATCAAAAAGTGACAACACCTTTTTAACTAGTAAAACTGAAGATGGCAAGAACTATCAGGCCTTCAAATAGAACACTTTCTGTTATTTATATGAACTGTTTCGGGCACCCTAGAAAACAGTTTCAGTGTTTTTGAGTAATCATATACAATCTTCAAAGCAATTATAATTGGCTGCTACATTATGTACACATGCATTTCTTAAAGGAAAGCACTGCAGTATAAACTTAATATACTTCTGGAATAAATTATTCTGAACTCTCAGACCAACTTTTGGCAATTTATTTTTAATTCCAACTCAACGTTGGTCACTACGGGAGCTGATTTCTTATTTTGAAGAAAACCTAGAGGGTAAACTTGGACACCCAGCAACTTCAAGTTACTTTATCCAGATTATAAAAGTCTGGGTATATGCCACAATATCTCATTACAGGCTAGAAAGTAAAACTCTGAAATAAAAAACAGAGACAGTTTATTGCAAAGGCCTTTAGGAGGAAATGGCTTGTTGCTGTATGCTTGGTATATTTAGGAGCTTGCTGGCACACTGGAAGATTAGGGAGAGGCAGGATTCTGTGCCAGCAGCACCTTATGCCACCTGCCCTACCAAGAACTTGGTGTCTGGCTCCTCAAATGATTTCTGTATTCCCTGTTGAGATTCCCTGTTGTATTCCTTGCATAAGACATGGTCTCTAGGCCTGCAGGTGTCCCATCATGCACATGAGTGGCTCTTCCCACTGGATAAACACTAAAAAGGGGCTTTGCTCTCATCCTGGGTGAAAGAATAGACTAGGATTGGATGCCTTTTGCCACAGACGCTTCACACATGAATCCTAAGAAGGGAAATGTGGCCTTCCTCTAGCCTAGATTTAGGAGACCAGGATTTGGGCAGGGTTTGCAGCATCCTGGACACCTTTCCACTCTTCATAGCTTGCTGGTTACAGATCCCCTTGTGAGCCTCCTATGGTATTTTTAGGCTTGGTATCAGCTGCATTTGTTGTTGGTTCATTTACTGAAAGTGCATTCCCCTTGCAGCTCATGGTGGTAAATTCCTGTCACAGCCACTTGTTGCAAACTCACTTCAGGACATTATCACAAAACAAGGAAGGGTTACACTGCACATGGGTTTTTAAAAGCAGATAAGAACACTGATATAGCATAAGACGAAGGGGAAATAGTCAAAATTTCACTATATAAAAAAGATACAGTAAAGCTCTGATTCCATTACAAATGAGACTTAATGGCTGGGAAGGTCTGCACCTACATTTATATAGTTTGTGTAGCCTCAAAACCCCATTACTAAGGAACTATAGGGCAAAGGAAGTTATTGGTACTACTGAAGTAATCTGCAGAATACCACTTCCCAGGCTTATACAGCAGCAGGAAACACACTGTATATCAGATGCTTCCCACTCAATGTCTTGTCATTGTTTTCCCCTTAAGTTTGCAATGCAGTGTTCTCCTTCCTTGCAAGCTGCAAGCACACAGAGTAGACAGAGCACATCAATACTATACCAGGCAAAAAAATGAGTAAAAGTTGAAAACTAACAGGCGCTGGCTGAGGTTGGGCCAAGACGGTGTGGTTTCCAGCTGAAGCCAAAATGGTGTCTGCTCTTACCTGGCCACCTGCAAAAATGATAGGTGCAGAGGCAGGTTTGGGACGGTAGGGGATGGTGGCACCTTTGGGTGGGGACTGCAGACAAAAACACAAAGCGATCAAAATGCAGAATGAAGCAGAATGCACATAAAACCACTCTTTAACTTGGCCACCCTAGGCAGTAGGGGTGCACTGACCCGGCCCCAGCCCGCCCTGCCTTCCTTACCAAGAGTCCTAGAATCAGAAGTCTGATGTCTGAGCCCCAGGTAGGGAAGCCAAGGCCTCAGTTGTCCAACTGACAGCCGGCACTCGTGGCTTCTCTACCACTCTTAGCTGGTGAAGCTATAAAGCTTCATTAAGCACTTTAAGGCATTTCAGGAAACAATATCAAACTGTGTCAATGTTTTGGAAGAGGCCAGTCTGAGCACACCCTGCTTATTGATCTTTCCTATGCTGCTGCGCATCAAGATTTCTTGTTTTACTGACTCAGTTAAGTCGGCTGCTAAATGACAAGCGACTGGCTTGATCCTTCCTCTTGTTCAGCTGAGCAGGAAGGGTGGAGAAAATCCCTCCCAGCTACAGCCTTCATCATGTACAGAAAAGGAACATATTCCCTGCAGCCCAAGGCAAGTGTATGAAGGGAAATATCTGAGCCAGATTAACATTCTTCCCATACACAAAGTGGGAGCGTCTGCCTGTAAAACAGTTTGTTTTCTAAATTAAATATATCTATTTATTCCATGAATGCCACTTGCATACAGAACTACACACCATGCTCAAAGCTGATAATAATTACTATCATGTACTCCACGTCTAATGAACTAGCATTAGTTTTTGAATATTATCTTCTATATTATTTTTATACACAAATTCTTTCCTCACAGTAGTCCAGCAAAAACTGAAGCAAGAGTCATTTTTTTTCCAAGCACAATATTGGGCATTTCTTCAGTTTTATGCCTTTTTTTTTTTTTTGCATAATGCTGGCTGTTATTTAGATACAGTGCATTCTTACGAACAGCCTGTAGCTACAGTGCTGTCTCACTGCTTCTCCTATCTTTAAGGAATATAAAATAAGTAGGACATCAGAGATTATGAGACAGCTCCTGACTACACGTAAGATAAAAAAACCCATAAAACCCAAAACCCCAAACAGAGAAAATATTCCAGCAAAAAAAATGTGATAAAAATGGAGAAGTTAATCATTCTAAGTCAAAAGCTGTGGTTGCCATGTCAAGTTTTTTCATTTTGTATGCTGATGTTTTTTCAAACTTTAACTTAATCAGTTGAGATGTGTACTTGCATGAAAGTACAGACACGTTCAATACAGGATTAAACAGCTCAAATCTGTGTAGAAATTAATTTGGTATCATTTAACTTCAGAGCTAAAAAAGTGCCATTGCAAAGAAACTTAATAGCATTATGCAGTGATCTGACCCCAAAGAAGGAAAGAGTCCTGCAATGTTTAAATCACACAAGCCAGAATTGCTTCTACTTTAAACAAGACCTACGTGTTTTTGTCCTGTTCAGAATCATCAGAATAAAATGCATCAGAATAAAATGCTTTTCTCAAAAGATGGGCTGCAGCTCTGTGCAGGACCATGCTTTGCTGCTTGACAGTGTCATGATAGCCCTGGCCCCAGGTTGCTAAGCCTGCTCCAAGAGGTTCCCAGACACCAGTCAAGTATTTGAGGCTCTGTCAGGGTCCCCCTGAAATCCCTGACCGGGGATGGATGGACAGGACCTCAGGGAACCCCCGGGCAGCTGAAAATCAACAACATGTTTGAACATCTCCCATGTGAGAGGCAAGAACCCAAACGATCACTTACCTCCAGCATGACCACGCATATCTGTTTCACACACTGGATGATGGCATCGGGAGTGCCTGAGATAGTGACTGCACGCTCCGTTGAGTTTGGCAGCATATCCCCTGCTACTTGCACCTGGGCTCCTGTGGACTTGAGCAGAAGCAAACCAGAGTATCACTATCAGGAAGGCAATGCCAGGGGTGGGGAGGGGAGGGGAGGGGAGGGGAGGGGAGGGGAGGAAGCCAAAATAATCCTTGGCATTATTTCACAAAAATCATGAAAGACTTTCAATCAACAGAAAAAAAGCCCACATGCATTTCATATTGAATTTGCACTTCCACACATTACAAACAAAATGTTTTCCTGGTTGTTATTTAAATGCTATGTATGTATATATTTAGTTAGCTTTTAATTATCGTTGAGTTTGTGTCAGCCAGCAAAGAGTTATTTTATTTTCTTGGTGGTCACACACAACACATGCTATTCTTCTTTCCAGAGACTGATTAAATTACTGATTGCATCTTCTGTTCACTACTGCTATTTAAAGAGATATCAATTCCTTTTTCCATAACAGGCTTTGAAATTTCACCATAATTTCATCAATCTGCCATGCTTTTCTTTCTTTTTCTTACAGCCTTGTCTTGCAAATGCATGCATTCCTTGCTGTTCTCGGGCAGCAGCCCTACCAGGCTGAACACAAAAAGCATCCATCCCTCATGCAATTGCTACTTAGTGTGTTGTGTGATGATGAAATTAGATCATATCTTGAGGTAGATGCACTTTTTTTTGTTGCTGCTGTTTGATAGTGGTTATTGTTTAGCATACAGTTCTGGGTATCTGTATGACTAGCATAAAATACTCTGCAAAATACTGCAGTCATTTATGTGTTTGCTTCCAATGCTAGTTTTGTTTATTTTTTTACTTTAGTCATATATCAGCAATGAAAAAATAAATAAGATCTTCCCAATACACTTCTGACTATGCAAATGTGAAGTGTGCATCCATGCTACGTTAGCCTTATCCAAAGATCCCTTTGACCACACAATATCCTTTTACTTCCTTGCACTGGGGAAGTAGCTAACTGCTTCTGAAACTGTTCTCACCAGAATAATCACTGTACACAGACCAACTTCACCTGTAAGAGCCTGTGTCCTACAAGCACTCACTCACCATTACGGATGAGATTTCCAGTACAAAGAGGTACAAAGATTTCCAGTACAAAGACAAAGAGGTGACAGCTATAAAACCCGCAACTAAGTGCTTAACAGACCACACTTGGTGCTTCTGCCCAGTACTATTTTAACACAAATGAGAAACTAGCCAGAACCCTACTACCAGACAGTTCTGAATAAAGAGAACAGTTTTTCCTATATATCTAATTTTGCACAGAAGATCAAGTGCACATCAAGTGACACTGTCTCCCACATCCCAAAAGCATGTTTGAAAATAAGTACTAATGAGAGGCACAGCTCCCTGATTCTTTAATGAAAAAAAAGGTAACAAAATACCAAGAAAAAAAAGTAAAATTATTTGCAGGTCTTGGTAAATAAGAAGACCACTTCAAATGGCAGAATTTCAGAGCAAATTTAATTTTGATCAAAACATTTTCCAGTCCTCTACATCATCTGATGAAAGCTTCTCTTACCAAAATGTCCTTTTTTTTTTTTTCCATGCTTGAAATGAAACTTGGAAGTTCAATGAAACATACTGCCTTGAAGATACATTTGTAGATAAAACGGAAAGTTTTCCTGGGAAAACTTGGTGAAAAGCTTTTGTTTTGACAAAGTCAAATAAAAAAACAGTCAGCACTTCATCTTGCTATTCAACACTTTGTTCTGTGTTAGAACAAATACAAATGTAGAAGGAACACCATCATTTTCTCCAGAGTAAAATGGCATTTTCAGAAATGTTTATTCAGATTCCCTTTATATAATTTTAGCACGTGCCTACTTTTCTTGTTTTACTGATTAAAAATATCAGATCCTCAGCTTGACATGTGCTAAGTTACCATAGCCACAGTAGGAACAATTCAAGCTGACACCGTGTGATCATTTTTGCATTTTCTGATTAGAGAAAAATGTGGCTGCTAGCACAGTGAATTGAATGAATGCCTTTAGATAAAGTCTGAATTAAAAATAAATCAATATGAGATGGGAATAGATGAGGTCAGGTCATTCATGGAACAGCGAGATTAGGGAGAAACAAAAAAACAAATCAATTAAAAAAAAAGGTAGATGAAGAGTTTGACCTCATGACCTGGCCTCGCCAGCACAATCTGGGTCTTTCCCTGACTGCAAACGTTGGAACTGGCCTCGAAAAGTCCACAACACTCTGGCTCGGCCTTCTCAGTGTTGCTGACTGGGGGACAATGCTGAAAAAGAAATCTGAAAGGACATTTTTATTTGCTAGGGTGTTGATTTGCCGAAATGTGCTTGACTGTTTTCTCTGTTGTTTATTTTCCTCTTCCAAGCTGTGTTTGAGCTGCTCTAGTAGTGTTGCAATGAATGAATTGTAAAGCTGTTTTTTAATTTCATATACTGTCTCTGTGTCCTGGAAGGTACAAGGGCACTGTGGTCATTGGCTTGCCACAGAGCAAGGCTTTCTGAGGCTCTTCACTCAGCACATTTGACAGTCAATAGGATAACAACCCTGGCTGTCATTTATGACCACCTCCTCCTTCCAGAACTGCCATGAACTGATGAGTCACAGTAAATGCTGTACATGTAATTTCAGTAAAATAATTTTCACAGAATCACTGAATGGTTCAGGTTGATCGGGCCCTCAGAGCCCACCCAGCCCCAACCCCATGCCATGGGTAGGGCTGCTCCCATCAGCTTAGGCTGCCTAGGGCTCCATCCAACCTGGCCTTGAGTGCCTCCAGAGGTGGGGCACCACAGCTTCTCTGGGCGGCTGTGCCAGCGCTTCATCACCCTCTGAGTAAAAAATCTCCATTGGCCAAGTGCAATGGAACAACACTGAGCTAGTCAGAAACCCTGGCAGACACCCCGAGACTTACCTCCCTGATTTCTTTGATTTTGGAGCCTCCTTTTCCTATAAGGGATCCGCACTGACTTGCTGGAACGACAAGCCGCAGTGTTACAGGTGGCTTGCTTGTCACTGAGCTGTTTGTCATTGAAGCATTAATGTCCTGTAATAGCAACATCAAACACAATTAGCTGAGGATTTGTCATTCCTTTTGGGTACTAAAGGGCGCAGAGCAAATGCCTGAACAGTTCTTGAGGACTTGGGCAGTTTGTAACTAATTGTGTCTCATCTCTGCTGCAGGTGAAGCCACCAGCAATGTAGATGATACACCATAAGCATGACTGCACAAGAAGCAGAGGAGGAAGGCTTGTGCAGGGGACAGGCTCAGTGACAAGACTGGGAGGTGACTGTGGCACCTGCCTTTAGACCAGCTGAAGCAGATGGAAAAAACAAGCAGGTTTTTGAGTTCACAGGCCCCCAAATCCTGACTTTGTTTCTTTTCCACTATCTTGAGTTGAACATTTCTACTATATATTACATCTTTTCACATAGCTTCTCTTCATTGCCACAAAGAAAAAAGGTTTTAAGAGGGAATGACAAAAATGATCTATGACCAATCTGAAGCAAATAAAAGCAGATAATATTGATAAATACTTTGCTGCACCCATGCTTAATTTCTCTTTTGTAGCAGATCTGTATAACACAGTACACTTTCTAAAATATTTTCCATCATAGCTATGTAACCAGAGTATTAACAATAGCAGTTATCTGTACCTAGATATTTTAACATGTATTCATGTATTCTGTTATCTAGTCAAACTACACTGCCTATTTTCAAGGGCTTTTTAATATACTACTTGTCACAAAGTTTACACTGTTTTAAACATATTTTTGTTTCTTCAAAGTCTTCCAGCCACAACAAAACTATCCCTCTAATTTCCTCATTCTCATCATCTAAAAGGAGTCAAACCCAAACAAGGAGTCTCAGTTACATACTCCTAAAACCATGAGACAAAAAAAAACAAAAAAACAAAAAAAAAAAAAACAAATAAACAAAAAACCCACAAAGGAAAAGATAAAGCTGACCTTCCAATGGAATGAAGGGACCAAAATCAATCAATCAATCAAGCAAGCAAGCAAGCAAGCAATTCACAAGTTATCCAAACAACACATGGGAACACCAGCATTGTTCGCAGCAGTACCTCTGCATTTTGGATGGTAACGTTCTGCTGCCTAAGAAATGGCTCAGTATGACCTTGCTAAGCTTCAAAGAGATGAAAAAATCTTGAACACAATGAGGCATGTCTGCACACCATAAGACAGCGATCAAATCAGTCCTCTGCAGCCCTTAACTCACATTTTGTTTAGTACCAGTGTCAGTGAGAGATTGCAATCCAAAATAAAGCGAGAAGGATAGCAGAGCTCTGCAACACACATGTACCTGAAATAAAGTGCAAGTCATACCGATTTTCCAGCTGGAAGATATCACTTCACTAGATCATGTTAGTGTCAGGTAATGGCACATAATCATCCAGACGCAGGTAAACAACTCACTTCAAAGCCACCCAGCATGTTCCTGATAATGTCTCCCAATTCTACATCATAGCTGAACTGGCCTCGAAGCATTCACTGCACTCAGGTGCACTTAAAAGCACTTCAAAACACTTGTTCATTTAAGGCCGCTCTACTTTATTTTCTCTTCACCATTCAGAAGTAGTCAAACCTAAACTATGGCATCTCAATGACATACTGGTAAAGGCATCAGATCAGCTTAAAAACACAGAAAAGATGAGAGAGCAAAAAGATCCCCTCCAGAACTGCACATTCCCAAAGTAGTGCTGGCTGGAAAAATTCTCACAGGACAATTTTATTTTGAACTGGAATATTTGTTTCTTTAGCATCTAACTTTCTGTGCACTGCATCCATCTCCTCAGGCCTTTGAAAGATGTAAGAGTTGGACTTTGCATGGTTTTTCGTTTGTCTTCCTCATCTAGGATCCCTGATGGGTATCAGTCACATTGATAAGGAAGTGATTCATGTTCAGAGTGTTACATGAGCTTTCTCCCAGACTCTACAAATTAATCACAAATTCCTCCCCTCTTTCCCATCCCAAAATTTGATACAAAGAGTTTAAACCAAGTTCTCACAACTTATTTTTTTTTGGTAGCATTTCTAGCTGGAAACTCAAGAGTATTCTGGCTCATGTACAGCTCACATCTTGTGGGCTATGGAGAGTACATTCATAGGGACAGATAGCCCATAAAACAATATTTGCTGGAGTTTACACTGCTGTTTGCTACATATAGGTTCAGCAATTATCACACTGGTGCTCTTCAGATTTCGCAGTTGCTGACAACATAGCATAAGTAAAAAGAATATTTTATAGCAAGAGTGATATTCTATTGTGGGATTTTCTATTTCATAACTGGCTTAAGAAATCTCCAGTAATAAGATATGTATAAGAAATGGCATTGGGTAGCCAGCTCAATTCTAAGTTCTGAAACAGTACTTCATTTTGACTCTAAAGCATTACAGTTACCTCATTGTATTGATAGGAATAATTACAGAAAACCAAACTGATTTTATGAGACATTTTTCCTTACCACTGTTCTTTCAAATACTCTGGAAGCCAATGATATTAAAACTAAATACAGATACTTCAGAATAGATATGATGCATGAGTTCTACATTAAGTGCCAATACTCACTGACTAAAATCAATGCTAAGAGTCCTGATTACCCTCTAAGATCTAAGCACAAATATGCATAAAATCCACTCAAACGCCCGAAGTTCACATTTTTTTGCCTATCAAAAACAACAGGGTGAGTTTGGCTTTTTTTTTTTTGGAGAGGTGGGGTGGGTGAGGTATTTAATGCTATGTGATGTTCAATGCTTTTATGAGAAATGTGATGCTATTTCTACTGGGTACTCATTTTGATGGGAACTGGCAGGGATTAGAGATTCCCACAGCATTCTGCAGGATAAGATCGTAAGGAGAACATGCTCTTCATTCTCTCTCTGAATCTCAGCATGCTGGTATGATGCCGTGCATGAAACAGAATCATAACCTATAGAAGGAACAGAGATAAGTATGATACGGGCAAGGAGATAAAGCTCTGATGGAGATGACAGCAGATGGTTTTACAACGGGACTACAGAGAATTGCTTGTGCAGTTCTGCAAGACTCAACCTCAAAATCAGCATTATTTCATTAAAAACTGGTAAAGAAAACAAACAAAAAAATGCACCGTGCCATAAATCCAAGGTACCTTATCAACACATTGAACAACTGTAATATTCCATTGGAAGATCTCAAAGATCACGAAAGAGTGGAGGAGGATGAACGGGATTAACATTTCCAGCATTAAAAAGAAGAGCCATATGCCTGAGGACTAACAAGATGGTCTCCTGAGATGTAGGAAGTTCCCAATGAACACACCTGAGGATGAGCTCAGGATGTCACAGCCCCAGTGCAGTTACATACAAAATGTTACCCTAGGTGGGGGTGAGGCACTGCCAGCAGGGATGGGATTGTGTTAGCATGATAGCCAGCCCAGGGGACATTTAATGCCATTAATTAAACCCCTGCGGAGCTTCATTTGCAACCTGTTCACAATTAAGGTAGGCATTTAGCATAGACTGCAAAGGTACAAAGGGAGTGTTGAGGGTTTGGAGAGTGCACTTAATGAAAGACTGAGCTTGGCTCATTTATTCTGGAAAAAGCAGAAGTGTGAGGGGATAAAGCTGTTTTATAAAAAAATGTGTGAGAGCAAACCTCAGGACTGGAAATGCAAGAATTATCAGCCACTGCTGGTACGTGGACAAAGCCATAAAAACTACTTGTGAATAAATTTCCATGGGGAGAGAGAAGGTGTCCAGGTATCAGAGAATTGAGGTTGTGAATCCAATATCAGGAACTAGAAAAATATAAAGTACTTTTTGATCATGCCATAATGGAGATTGCAAGACATACTGCTTATGCTAGCAGACAATTGCACCTGATGACCCACGAACTCTTCTGATCCTGTTGCTCTAAATTTGAATAATCACCAAAGGTAAACAAAGCTACACACTGGCATTCCCCATCATCTCCTCTCTGCAGGCAATTCCTTCAGGAGAAGGTGAACTGCTCTCTGTAGGAGCTTCTGCTTCCCACAGAGTACAGAAGAGACAGCTGGATGAAAGCAGAGGGAGTCAAGTCCTCTCCTATGTTAACAGGGTTCATGTTTGGCAGCCTGCTGCCATTTTTTTTCCTTTTTTTTTTTTTTTTTTTAAAGTTTCCCATTAAAGCAGTGACTAATTCTAACTGCAGCTGGTCCATGAAACTTGAGGAGATCCGAGCACTTTAGGTACATATCTGCATGGAATGGTAATTCTATGGTAAATTGAGCGCTCCCTTGCCTCACTTACTATTAGTGCCTTCATTATAATTAATTTTAAAAGCCAATCCTTAAATATGGTAATTAGTAATTACATAGGTCTTTAAAATAAAAAATTTCTAGTTGAATGAATTATATACTCATTTTGACGTATGCAGAATTTACATCAATACCAAATGGAATCAGATAAAAACAGAGCTAAAAGTTAGGCAATTATTTTTTGCAAATCATACTCACGATGGGACCAGGCATTTTCTAAGACATTTTTCTTACCATTAGTGCACATTACTAGAAGCAATTGCTTTTCGCTAAAGCCTCCAAAAAGCAAAAGAAATTATCAAACAGCTTGTAAACTGACCCATTATTTTTCTTCGGTGTTACTGCCAAAAGCCTTTATAAAAATACAACCAATTTCATTGCTATTAAATAGAACATTAAACAAATCATATTTAACATTAAAGCAAACATGAGAAAATCCAAACACTTGTATCTGTGTTTCAACTTCAAGAGAGAATTTTTATTTATTTATTTATTTGCTTACCTCTTCAAATTTTAGTGCAATCATAGAAAAAGCTTTAAAAATTGCATCTGTTGGGCCTGTTATGGTCACAATTCTTTCTGGACAGGAGCCTTCGGAAATATTGATTCGAGCCCCACTCTGTCAAAAAGAACAAATAATTTTCAATTTTATACTTCCTGGGGAGAAAAGTAAGCAGGAGCAGAGATATAGGTTGGGAAGGAATATCTTGAGGCATCTAATTCACTCGCCTACAATTGTAGCCACAACATATATAATTTCAGCATAAACTGATCACACTCCAAAGATTCAACTAACTGTGGGAAGCCAGGTTCTGTCTCAGTAAACACTCAAGCAGCTTTCATCACAGTATGCAAATAGCACCTCTATAACTCAAAGGTACAAATAATTACATTATGAAGTTTTTGCTTCTGAAAAGCTAACCTTAAAGAGGACTGGAGCTACAGAATTTCAGACAAGCTTCTTTTCTTCAGGGAGTATCAATACTTTGAAGCCTGGACTCAAATGAAGCCTGGACAGTGCTTGATGTGTCTAGCTGGGGCCCTGCTTGGAATATGGGATGGTTCCTTTTAGCTGTGTGTCATGGGAATTTACTCAATGTGCACAAAATAATCCTTTAAAGAAGTATTGGTAGGACATGCAATGGGGATGGTGTTATCTCCTTTAAAGCAAGGAGCCTGAAGGAAGGAATTGGACAACTGCTTCTTAGAGACTAAGGAGCATGGCTCTCAGGTATACTTATTCCCTTATATGTTACTGTACCACTGCAGAGAAAACCCCTAAATCAGATGTAAATGTGCTTAATAGGATTATCAGTGGATGTAATAATCAAATCCAGTTTAGGTAAGATAAACCCTGTGCCTCCTCTGAGGTTTCAGCCATGGAAATGAGTTAATGCAGTCTAACAAGTCACCAGAGCAACTGATACAGAGACACTGACCTCTATGAGTATGCAGGCCTCCAGCAAACACGAGATACTGTGAGTTTGTAGAATCATAGAATCATTTGAGCTGGAAGGGACCCTTAAAAGCCATTGAGTCTGACTCCCTTGCAATGAAGAGGGAGACCTTCAGCAGATCAGGGTGTTCAGAGTCCCCTGCAAACTGACCTCGAGTGTCTACAGGGACAAGGCATCCACCACCTCTCTGGACAACCTGAGCCAGTGCGTCACCTCTCAGACTGTAAAAGACTTTCTCCTTATATCCAACCTAAATCTCCCCTATCCTAGCTTGAAACCCTTTGCTTCCAAAGTTACCACAAACCAGCGATGTGATATGTGCCTGAGCCTTCATTCATGTGTGTACTGCTGCTGAACAGTTAAGATAGCTTATTTCCCCAAGTGACAACAACCAATCACAGTAGCAAAATACCCACAACACTAACTAACAGAAAAATCTAGCTGTCATGGTGTTTGCTGGCAGATCCACTTGGTATTCATAGAATAGAAAGGGTGGCAGATACTTCTTCTGACAGGTGAATCTACGTGGGGATTGTCTCAGTCAAACACCACAGTTCTATCAGTAAGGAGATCAAGCCTGGGGTGAGTTCAGTTGGCTGCAGCATTTGGTTGCAGGGATTATAGTCTGTCCTTGGGGTACTGCTCTGCAGTGAGCCAGGCAGAAACACAGCTTTGAAGAGCTGCTGGGGATATGGCCTTAACTGTCGCATGGCCCTCCAGTACACTTCTGATCAGAACAATCACAGATTATGTGGGAATCTCCAATATTTGTGTAGAAAGTTAATGACTGCAGGGCACAGATTGGTGGGGTTTGTACTTCAGACTCATGTTTCTATTACATTTCTCTGATGACAGGGCAAGTCAACACTGCGTTTTGTTGTTGGCTTGCAAATTACCACATCTACCAGGAAAGTCAAAATAAAACTATGGTTTGTTTTTAAAGGAGGACTGGAGGAGTTAGTGATTTAAAAGAAGGACTGAGTCATCATCACTTGGAAACACAACTGCTTAGTCCTTGTTAGTAGTAAAAGGCATACAATTCCTTTTTATAAAATGAAAAACCAAACTGCTTGCAATTATCTATAAGTGACAGTAGCTTTTCAAGGAGAATATTTTATATTTACCTTGAAAAACTGATCAGGAACTATAACACTTCCCTAAGATGTTTGACTCAGAAATCAGGAACACTTTCTAATGATAGTTTCCCCAGCGTGCAGCTAGCTTAAACCCAAAGATATCTACCTGTGATCACAATTGAAAATTAGGCTACAATGTGTTTAATCAACTCTGAGGATTACTTAGTACATTCAAAACTGTTTTATTTTTTTCCCCTCTTTTTATTTTTAAATCTTAACAATTATACTTATTTATAAAAACATGAGTGAAACCTCTCATCAACAGAAGAGCTCTGAATTCAGTCAGCCTGAAAATGAACTCCCTGTAGTGTATGTTTAAAGATATATCTCATAATTTTCTTCACTCCAAGTATGCTGAGATTTTTCTGCCAGAGACCACCTATCAGTGTACAAAATAACAAAGCAAGTGACATACTAAAGTACAGTAGAGAACCACACTAACTTTTCTTGAGGCATCCTCTGCACACCTTGTGCTCCTGAAGTTTCAAGCAGTAGGATTTTTCTTTTGAATCCTGCTTTTAGCCAATGTTTCAAAGTAGGAAACTTTCAAGGATGTGTGCAGGTTAGATGTGTTGATGTGCAGGACATGAGGTATAATTCTCTACAGATGCTGCAGCTTGCTTTGGGGTAGAGAAAGAGGCCTACAACAACTGGCAAGATTAAAGTTTATGCAGAGCCATGCCTCCATTAGCTTCTTTGTGCTTATAACCTTTTCAAAGGATGTGAATGGTTGGTGTGCAGGTCTACTCTGTCCAAACACTACTGACTGCTGCAAAATGAGGAAAAGTCAAGTCTGTGCCCAGACATAGCAGAGGGATGCTTTGACTTGTGAAATCCAGCTCCAGCTCTGCAGAAGGTTGAGTCTTCCTCACACTTTATATAGCATCACTCTAAAGCTTGGTTTCAGATTATGGGAGCTCCCTGCTGGGCAACCATGACGCACACAGGAGCAATGCTGGCAGGCTGGGGAAAGACACAGAGGTTTGGATGCGCACAATCATGCTGGCTAATCTGTTCGAGATAAGACAGCAGCAGGCACATTGCTATGGGAATGAAGGGCTCCAGACTGCTGCAGTGATAAGGAAGTGACATTAACAGCAGTGCTTAATTTAGGCCAGCACATTTGCACAGCACCGCGTGTAACAGGGAGGTGATGCTCAGAGAGCTGTCCACTTGATGGCAGTGCCGTTCCATATCCTGATTTCCCTAGCAAGGAAGGCAAGTGAAAATATCAAGGCTCATCTTACCTCCTCCCGCATCTTCTTAACTGTCTCACCTTTCTGTTGAAGAAAGAGAAGAAAGTTAGCCTGGGCTGATGAAGGGTACAGATATGCAATATTTTTACATGGCAATAAAGAGAAAAAGTAATTTCCTGACCTTTCCAATAATGCTTCCAACCTCCTGAAATGGAAAAGAAGACAGTGTAAGTGAATGATAGGATTTGCTACGGAAGAACATCTGCTAAGCTCCTAAGCTATTTTGCTATTATTTATTTTAAACCTGGAATGTGAAGCGTAGCCCCATTTCTTTGCTGCTGTACACAAATATGCCATGTTAGATACAAAAGAATGGGCTAACAATGTGACTTCACAGACTGTGCAAGAAAAATACCTTTAGCAGAAACTCATCTTGTGGTTACATATCAATTCTGCTACTAAAAATGTGGATAAATGCCTGTATCAGGGGGTGAAACATTAAAAAAAAAAAAAAAAAAAAAAAAAAAAAAAAAAGCAGAACTTATAAAAATTACCAGAGAAAATGGGATATAATGCATGCATCAAAATAATTGCTGATATCTCCAGGGGCAGGCACTTACCTTCTTCTCACCACTTAATAGCTAGTGTTGAATTTCCATGCCACCAAGTAGTATTGCTTGAACACCCAGTGGCCTATCTTAATCTCCCCATTAGGCACTTAGAGAATAAAAATTGCTAATCACTTTTCAGGGTTTTGGGAATTGCTGCTGGACTCCCACAGTCTTCCATGAAGAGACAGAAAATACTGAGAAATATCACCATGAACACAAAATAGGAGAATGATTTGGCAGTTCTGGCAATATCCCAAGGGTATAAAATTTGGTGCATAAAAGCAACAGGTAGCAAAAATAAAGCTAATACTCTAAAATGAATAGTTTCGACATGTTACAGCAGCCACACAGCCGTGACAGCAAACTGGAAATCATCTGATGGAGGGGAGAGCAGTTAAAAGAAAACAAGCTCCTTTCCTACAATCAGAGTGAGAAATATACTTCCATAGTTAAAGACTGTCTCACATGATCAATGTGTCCTAACATAAGCTTCAGCCTGGAAAAGAGAAGGCTCTGAGGAGACCTGAGAGTGGCCTTTCAGTGTCTAAAGGGAGTTGTAAGAAGGAAGGGGACCGACTCTTTACCACGGTCTGTTGTGATAGAAGGGGAAATGCTTTCAAGCAGAAGAAGGGGAGATTTATAATGGATATAAAGAAGTTTTTTTGCACTAAGGATAGAGAAGTACTGGCACAGTTTGCCCTGAGATATGGTAGATGCCCTGTCCTTGGAGATATGTCAGGTTGGATGGGGCTCTGAGCACCCTGTTGGAGCTGCAGGTGTCCCTTTTCATTGCAGGGGAGTTGGACTAGATGACCTTTAATGGTGCCTTTCAACTCAAATGATTCTACGATGCTGTGATTCACAGTCAATCAGTCACACTCCCACTCCTCACCATCTATATACTTAAGTCTGACTCACCCTGAAACACAGTCACAAGAGTAAGATTTAAGAAACTGTCCTCCGCTGCTCTACCCAATGATGGACACTTGATGAAGTGGTACTAACTTCACCCTGCAGTGCTGGGCTCCCTGCACTGCCCTTCAGAGAGAGCTATTCCTCACCACTAGGTTATTTATAAGCTTACAATATGAAGCTGTTTGTGTTTCTGATTCCTCACAAGACATAAAGACTTTCCAATGAGAAGAAGACCTTTCTCAGTAAAGAACTTTGACACATGGTTTCTTTGTATTCTCAGCAAGTCTACAGGTAAAACCAAACTGGGGCTAGCCATCAGTGCACTGATGGACAAGACTACTTGAAGTCACCTAGACAGGCTGAAAAAATGAGAAACTTCCAGGGGTATGATGAAGTCAATGTGAAGTCTCACATTCGGGAAGGAACAAGCCCATGCACCAGGACAGGCTGGGCAGCAGCTTGCTACACAGGGGTTTCATAGTAAAAGGCTTAAGGCTCCAGATGCACAACCCAAATGTGAATCAGCAGTGTGCCCCTGCAGCAAAGGTCAACCAAATTCTGGGCTGTACTAGTAGCAGTGTAGCCAGCAAGCCACGGTAAGTTTCTCTAGCCTTCTCCTTGGGCTTGTGAGACAATGCCTAGAGGACTGCATCCTGTTTAAGGCTCCAAGTGCATGACAGACAAGGACATACTGAAGCAAACCCAGTGCCAGGCCACTCTAGCACAGGACACATCAGAAGTGTTTTTGTTCACCCTGAGGAACAAATCACTTGGGGTCATCTTGCCACTGTATACAACAAGGGAATATGTGAAAACTAGAGCCAAACTTCAGCAAGTGTAAGACGAAACAAACCAGCTGCAACATTAAATTCCTACTTAACATAAAGAATTTATTATTATTATTATTATTATTTTATTTTTTTTAACCATGAAGGTGTCTGGACATTGGATTGGGTGCCCAGAGGTGTCCAAACCCACCCTGAGCAAAGGCCTCAGCAACTTGTTCCAATAGGCTCTGCTTGATTCAGAAGGTCAAACTGAAGACCTCTAGGTCTCCAGTGTCCACCTGCCATTCTTCAAGTATGGCCTTCTGCCTACTTATATCCAATGCCTAACTGTAGCCTCGAAGTTTCTTACCCCAGTCTGACCTCTTTATATGCTTATTTTCAAACTTTATTTTTTCTGTTTCCTGTTTCCCTTTTTTATTTCCCTTCCTACTTTGCTTCCAAGATGAGATTCTGCTCTCTGGTACATGCTGGCCATAGAGTAGAAATTGTCCAGACAATCACTGAAAATTTTATGGAGGTATCTGCTATGCAAACATGCCATTTTGCTAGTTTGACCTAGGCAGTCCTCCACATTTCACAGATTATGCTTGCTAAAGCTTCCTATGCCCTGACTTGTGAGCAAGGTGTCTATATCTGCGCATTTCATGCAAAGAAATGGAACTTTGCATTTTTCCTGCATTTCAGACTGTGCAGGGTTGGCTCAGACCACCATGTCAGCATTCTGGGTTGGCTCTCTAGTGAGGTGCAATGTTTTTGTTAGCAGTGACAAATCTGGGATGCCCATTCCACAAGATATTTAAGATTGTACTATTTTTTCAGATGATCACTGTAATAATGCTAAGCCATCTAACTATTGAGTGGGATTAAAAGATATCTGGGTAAGAGGGGTCAGATAGACACATATAACCCTTACTGATGGGAACCTGTCATGTCTAGTAGTTTCAGCTCCTGCAATCAGCAGATCTGTCTTTCTTCTCAATCACAGGCTTCAGAAATAACTTACTGTGTAATTCAGATTCCCTAGAAGCAGGACTTTTTGCTGTGAGTGAGCATATTATATTTTGATTATTATGGGTGAGCAATTGTATTTCAGTGTGTTTCGTATTTTTTACGTCTGAATTTTCATTAGAAGCTACAGGTCTTATCTTGAATCTGCAAAGCTCTGCTGATATACAATTCTTATGAAATCTGGCCCAATCTGCCCAACCACTTTGGGTCTTAATGACAGATGCAGTTATTTCAGAAATGTATGAATGAGACATGGCAAATCAGTACAGTTGTATCTTCCTTGGAAACAGGAAAAAATATTTTAGCTTTGGAAACAGAAAAACAATACAGTGCTTGTAACCCCAGTTTATAAAAAAAAAAAAAAGTGCATTTCAAACAAAGAAATTGGAAGTAACCACAACACATCAAGATTCTCAAGCTTCACTGAGGTCTGTGGGTGTTTTGCTGTCGATTTCAGTAGGGGCAGGAACTCGACCTGAGCAAATATCCCCTTATTTACTGCTAAAGAATACAAGCTATCAAATATCTGAATGAATGCACGGTGTGAATCCCACTGAAAAAATATTTCAGTGAAACTTCTGACCAGTTCCTCGGACCATGCTTGAAAATGCCATTGTAAGTCTATGGAGTACTTCAAACCTTTGCCTCATCAAAGTGAGAATTTCAAGTTGATTTTGAAGGCAGCAGCTCCCCAGTACTGTGGCAAGCATCGTCCCTTCCCTGCTCTGCAGCTCCCTTTGAGTTGGGACTCTGCTGGAAAATTTTCGGAAGAGGAGGGAGAAGAGGGAAACAGTAACCTCACATGGATATTCTTAACTCTCCAAAATGTTCAATTTGTGGAAATTACTCCAAAGAAGATAAATTCTAAAGCTATTCTAAACTGGTTGCTTTAGTCTTTTTTGAGCTTTTGCTCTTTCTAGGAAAACTCCCATAAATACTGAAGACGATGGATTGTGTTTTTAATTATGATGAGAAAACTCATTCTGTCACAGATAAAATCAGAAAATTCTTTATGCCTCATTCTTCATGTTATTTATGCTACTTCATCAAACTTTTAATGGCTCTTTGTACAGCTCAGTATTTGTTTCATACAGATTCTTCTGCCACCCTAAATTATATTTAGTGCTTCGTAAAATATCTAACACCATTTTTATAACATTCAAGCTTTGTCAATATTTCTAGCCAAAGTTATTTTTAAGTCCTTATTTAATCCAGAAAATTTTTCTAAATCTGCCAGATGATCAAGTCAACTGCTTAGACATAAGAGATAGGATGCCTGTCACCTATGTTAGTTCGTTAAAAATTCTAGTGTCAGAACACAGGTTCCTCTGCAGTCAACAGTGAGAGATAATGGAGGAAATTTCATTTCCAAAGAAGAGGGGAGAAGTATTCTCTCAAGGGTTTTGTCTTTCTCCACTTGCAGTGGAGGAAGCCTAGACTTACAAGAACATAGCTGAAGTAATTTTTGTAAGAGGAATCCCACATCTGATGTCAAATTCAGTCTCAGTACAGATCAGACACTGCGTTTGAGTTACCATGGATATACTAGCTTACTGGAATATATTAATCACTCTTGCATCGTTTGTTATTTTCTAGTGCTCAGTGATACAACTAAAGTTAAGTATTTATGATCAATTTCAGATTGATTTATGGGATAACCATCCACACACATAGTGGGAAAATAAGCTGTATAATAACAATTATTGGTTATTATATAGCCACATTTTAATGACATATAAAATCAGTGCACAAATAAAAATGTTGTCACTGGGGGAACTGAAGCTCAGAGGGAGAAAAAAAGGTCTGAAGTAATCTGGTGGACTGCCAAAGCTGAAAGAACTGCCCAACAACTGCCCAGCTGCCCTGTCCCTGGTCTCATCATA